TCGGGCTTTGTGTTTCAGGATCCCTGTAGAGACCCTATAGAGATCTCTACAGGTTTCTTGAATATGCCGATGTAGACCCTATAGAATTCCCTATCTATGAGTCTCCATCGGATCCCGATAGAGACCCCATAGGGATCACCATTTGGTTCTCTAGGATCCCTATAGAGGGTTCTTTAGGATACCAGATACAAGCCTGAAAGAGATCCCTACAGGGCCCCTTCAGGATACCTATGGAGACCCTATATTTCCTTCAGGATCCCTATTGCGACCCTATAGAGTTTCCTGTAGGGTCCCTAAAGGACACTATAGAAACCCGATAGAGACCCCTTATAGGGACCAAGGGCCCCACACCGATCCCTATAGGGTCCATTGAGGAACCCTATAGAGATCCTAGAGATTTCTGGATAGGGTCCCTTTAGGAGCCCTCTAGAAACCATGTAAAGATCTCTATCGGGTCCCGCTTTAGAGCCCTATGGGGACCCTGTCGAGACCCTATAAAGATCATGCAGGGCCTGTAAGGTCGCTATAAGATCCCGCTCGGGTGTCTTGAGGGTCCCTATGGAAACCCCATGCGATCCCACGAGGACCCTTATAGGATCCGTATAGGACCCCTATATGATGTTTATAGAGATCCTACAGGGCCTGAAAAGGTCGCTGGAGGATCCCTGCAGGATCCGTTAAGGATACCTATAGACACCCTATAGAGATCCTGGAGAGCCTGAAAAGGTACCTACAAGACCCATACGGGATCCCTTTCGGATCCCTAAAGAGACCGTGTAAAAATCCTGCAGGGCCTGTAAGGTCTACCCACCCCTCCCCTCCCCCACCCCTCCCCCTCCTCCCTCTTCCCACCGCCCCCCCTCCCTCCTCATCCCTCATCCGCATCCGCCTGCACATCCTCGCGGAGGATTGGCACTATAGTTTTTCCACGACGGATCGCGACGTGAGCCTGAGCAAAAAGCCTGAGGTAACGCAGGCATCTGACCTGACGGTCACTGTCTCTCAAACAATGCTGTGCGTCGAGTTCCTCCCCAGCGCCTCGCACATTCGCCGTAGAAATGCCCAACAGTTCCAAGCATGGAGGGCGGGTCTTTTTCAAAATGCGGCCCTCGCCTCAGCGGGGGCGCCGCCGAAGGCCCCAGCGGCACCACGCAGTTCGACATAACCCTATGCCTCGGAGAATAATCCCACAGGGATAATAAAGTTCGGGGTCGCGGGGAGATTATAAATGTTGCCCACCGGTTCGGGGGGCGGTTACTCTTCACAGGGATCCTGGCACCACTGGGAGTTACGCTGGAAACTCCAGCGGCTGCGCAAATTCTGGCATACCCAATCACGAGGATAGTGGCGCCAGCGGGAGCTCCGCCGACGGCCCCATCGGCAACGCCCACTTCGGCACACTTCGCACGATGATCCTGGCCCCAATGGGCGTTCTGCCGACAGAGTCCTAGCTATCCTGGGAATCAGGGAACCCTGGGACTCCTGGGGATGCTTCGGGGGATCCTAGCAATCCTGAAGGAATCCGAGGGATCCCTAGGAATCCTGGCAATCCCTGGGGAATCAATGCACCCTGAGAATCTTCGGGGAATCCCACGATTTGTTCTGGAATTCTTGGGAATCCCCGCGGGATCCTCGGAAAACTTGGAACCCCCTGTCGCTGATCCCATGCGCCCTGTATGGGATCCCACGCGAATCCCATACGGCCTGGTAGGGCTGGGTCCGGCTCTGGTTGGATTCATCTAGGGTTGGACCCCCTCCCTTGGACGGGGCGTAGCCCACCCCCAAGGGGGGGCCGAAGGCCGTTCGGGAGGGGGTGGTGCTGGGTTGCTGGTTGCTGAAGGGGAGGTGGGCGACCTTCAAACCCGCCTTGTTCAACAACAACAACAACAACAACAACAACAACAACAACAACAACAACAGCAACAGCAACAGCAACAGCAACAGCAACAACAACAGCAACAGCAACAGCAACAACAACACCACCAACAACAACAGCAGCAGCAACAACAACCATCATTTTCAGAATGTTCGCTCTTTTGTCTGCTCGAGTGTCCGTTAACGCGTATATCCCAAGCCCTCGATACCCGCCTCTTCGTCTTCGATCGTACCTCTTTTGGGGGGGTCGACCTTTGTTCCCTGCAGGCCGGGCCCCGGCGAGCGGCGAGGCGGCCGAGGACCCTCGGCCTGGCCAGCGGCAGCGCTGATCGGCGGCCGCCCGACCCCAAGAGGGACGGACAGGGAACCGACCACGACGACGACGTCGACGACGACGACGAGCGAAAGCGAGAGCGAGAGAGAGAGCGACAGCAGGGCCACGAAGGGCACGAAGTAGGCCACGAAGGGCGACAGCGGGGACACGAAGGGAATGCGTATGGGGCCACGAAGGGCGCGAACGAGCGGGGCCCACGAAGGGCAGGCAATGCGGGCCACAGAAGACAACGACGGGGCCACTGAGGGTAGCAACTGGGCCACGTAGGACAGCGAGGGGGCCACAAAGGGCAACCGCGGGGCCACGAAGGGCATGCACATGAGGCCACGACGGGCGCGAACAAGCGTGGGCCACGAAGGGCGGCATGCGTATATTGGGCCGTGGAGGGCAAGGACGGGGCCACTGAGGGCAGCAACGGGGCCACGAAGGGCAGCGAGGGGGCCACGAAGGGCAACAGTGGGGCCACAAAGGGCACCGGGCGCGAACGAGCGGTGGCCACGAAGGGCATACAGATATGGGGCCACGAAGGGCAGCGAGGGGGCCGCGAAGGGCTGCAACGGAGGCACGAAGGGCAGCGAGGGGGCCACGAGGGGCTGCAACGGGGCCAAGAAGGGCAGCGAGGGGGCCACGAAGGGCTGCAACGGGGCCACGAAGGGCAGCGAGGGGGCCACGAGAGGCTGCAACGGGGCCACGAAGGGCAGCGAGGGGGCCACGAAGGGCTGCAGCGGGGCCACGAAGGGCAGCGAGGGGGCCACGAAGGGCTGCAACGAGGCCACGAAGGGCAGCGAGGGGGCCACGAGGGGCTGTAACGGGGCCACGAAGGGCAGCGAGGGGGCCACGAAGGGCTGCAACGGGGCCACGAAGGGCAGCGAGGGGGGCTGCAACGGGGCCACGAAGGGCAGCGAGGGGGCCACGAATGGCTGCAACGGGGCCACGAAGGGCAGCGAGATCCCGATTCCTAAATAATCTGTGAGGGAATCCTAAGCGTCAGCGCGGTTCCTGGGTGCCTGAGTGTCGGGAGCGCGGCGCCTGAGTAAATGGCAGGAGATTCCAACGCAAGGGCGCTAGTATTAAGTATATTGCAAGCAAGTCTCCGGCGAGAGCGCGACTCCAAAGCGCCGAGAGACCGATTCCAACATAAATTCTAAAAAAATCCCAAGCGAGAGCGCGATTCCGGAATCAAAAGCACTCAGGCGGGAGCGGGGGTCCTGGCTGAGTTGTGAGGAAGTCTCAGGCGGGAGCCATTATTGTTGTAACCCGGGGGCCAACAACACTAGTTGAGGAGGAAGACTTCCCTGATGCAAAAAAACAGGGTGCGAGCGCTGGGAGGGGCACTTCAATCGAAACATACAATGTGCACGGGAGGGGGGGATCAACAATTCTTTTCTTCAGCAGTGATAGTTCAACAACAACAACAACAGCAGCAGCAGCAGGAGCAGCACCAACAACACCATCACCGACAACAACAATGACGACGACAACGACTACGACTACGACCACGATATGACCACGGCTACGGCTACGACTACGAGTCGTAGATTGTGAGCAACGCCTTCGACGAATAATGTGTCGATCTATAGAGCAATCATCTTACAAACGTAATCAAAATGCATGTCGTGCAGGGTATCCCAGATATCATTTTCGTTGAGAGAAAATCTCCATTATCCAACGCGGAAAACAATTGTGGGGAGCTAATCTCCACCGCGACAACGACGACGACAACCACGACTACAACCGCAACCACTGATTGCTGTTGCCATCCTCGTGAGAAGATGCATGATCTCCGCCGCGACGACGACAACGAATATTACTACGTTAACGACCACCAGGAGGAGCAGGAGGAGGGGGAATGAGGAGGATGAGGAGGATGAGGAGGAGGAGGAGGAAGGGCGTAGCTCGTTCCCCACCGAGAGAAACAGGGGGCAACATCAAATATCTCCTACGATTATATTGTAATCGTATCAGAACGACGACGAGATGAAGGGGAAGATTGTGAGCAACGCCTTCGGCGACGAACGTGTCGATCTAAATTGTAATCCTCTTACAAACGTGATCAACATTACTCTGTCGCGAATGGCAGCCCAGGGAGCTCTTCCAGCTGGGAGAAAGAGGCCCCCAGCATCATCCAGCACGGCGAACAAAACAGTGGGAACCTAATCGGTGGCCCGCGACGCGGGCGCTGACGACGAGGAGGAATGAGACGAGGAGGACGAGGAGGAGGAGGACGAGTAGGAGGTGGTGGAGGTGGTGGAGGAGGAGGAGGAGGACCGTCCTAGAGCCGAAAACTGCGAAACACCTCGGGACCCGCTTCCCTCAGGACCCGCTTCCTGCATGGCGATCCTTCGATTTGGAGTCCCGAGTCGGTGCGGTGACAGACCGTGCGGTGACCTGGGAACCCCCAGAGACCTCACCGCACGGTCCGTCACCGCACGGTCTTGGGACCCTGGAGGCCCCTGTCGCCCGAGACATCCTCGGGGAGGGACTCGAGCCCCAAAGCCGTGCGGTGACCCCGAATCCCCACCGACCCCCCGCACGGTGTGGTCACCACACCGTCTGGGGGCCCCCCATTTCGGGAGCGGCCAAGAGGGGGGGGTGCAAATCATGACCGGCGGCATGTGCGCGGCCCAGCGGGGGGGCCAGGGACGTAATGAAACAAGAAGGTGCGCCATGAAATCCGGGGAAATATCATGGCCCCCGTCATGATATCCACCCCCCCTGTCATCACCCCCCTCTTTTCCGCCCCCGACCATTCGACCTGGGGCCAGGGACACCCGTGGCACCCCCCAGCATCTGCCGGGCGTGGAGCCGGCTCACGTGGCCGCCGCCGGAGGCCGCCGCCGTCGCGCAGGCCCCGAGGGCGGCGAGCAGCGCCCACGCGCGGCACATGACGATGGCAAGGCGTCGGGCTGGCGCACAGGCGGCCCCCCGGGGCCCCACCGGCCAGGCCTCCCGAGCAGTTCCTTCTGGCCCCAGCTTGCCGTCGCTCGGGCGTCCACTTCCCGTGCACGGTTCGGTTTCGTGCGTGTGCTTTCTTTGCTCGATGAGCCAGGAGGGTCCTCGAGGGTCCTCGCCGGGAGAAAAAATGCACACGTCCGAGCGATGCCAGGCCACCAGGCCCCCCGAGTAGTCCAGGGCGGTCTCGGCACCCCGGCGCCGCCTCCGGCGGCGGTCTCTGGCACCCTGGCGCTCCGCGCCCAGGGGGGGATGGGGGTGCAGAGACCGCCCCCGGTCTGCTCGGGGGCCTGTTGAGGCCAGCCGGGGCTGCTCGGGGGTAAGGCCTCGTGTCGGGTGTTGCTGAAAGTACTTCTGGCCCAAGGTGCCCCCAGCTTTTCGCTCTATTTTGGAGCCAGGGAGACCCTCTGGGCCTCGTGAGGGGTGCTCTGGAAGCCGCGGGTAACTACCTACTGACCACCCTAACCCGAAGACCCGAATTTGACCTGAATTTCGGGTTGGGGGGGGGGTACGGGTTCCATATGCTTTTTCAATATTCCCCGACCCCCCGCCTACAGGAAATGGAGGGCAAAGTGAGGCCTTCGGGTTGGGTTGGGGTGGTTTGGTGGGTGGTGAGTGGGGACCTCCTTGGAAATCTCGGGCCAGGGGTACTTCTGGCAACATCCGATCGTTGGCGAAGAGCAGGTCCAGCGGCCCCGCGGGGCGCGCCACTGGGCCGCGACCCCGCGGACACGTTGCTCTGTCCTCGCAGATGCCCCGCGCAAAACGTGCCCGCGCCGCCTCCGCCGCCCCCTCCGCCTCCGCCGCCGCCGCCGTCGCCGCCGCCGTCGCCGCCGCCGCCGCCGCCGCCTCCTCCTCCTCCTCATCCTCTTCCTGATCCTCCTCCTCCTTCCTCCTCCTCCTCCTCCTCGTCCTCCTCCTCCTCCACCGCGTACCCGCGGGATCGCTCGCCAGAGTCCATGCCGCGAGGGCGCGGCCACGGATATGTTCGCCGCCGTTGAGGGCCCGCGGGGGCCGTGCGAGCGCAGCCCGAAGCCTTACCTCACGGCAAGGGGGTGCCGAGGGGGCTCCAAGTGGAGACGCCAAAAGCTACCAATGCCACTGCTCGCCGGGCGTCTCCCGGGGCGCGTCCCGATCAGCATTCCGAGGCGAACCCAAAGGTGGCGACAAGGGCCTCCCAGGAGACCCCCTCCCAGGAGGCCCCCCAAACAAGGCAAGGATAGTGGTATGGGTGCCCATTCTAGAGAGCAGGAAAAAAAACACCCTCGACAAAAAAAACATGCACAAAACCGTTCAGTAAACGCACCCCAGAAAAAATAGTCCAGCACGGCAAGGCTGCTTAGTAAACGCCCAAAGCGGGTTTAGTAAACGCCAGTGGTGTGGGCCAGGGTGTTTTTCCCAATCCTCCTGAGCCCGATAGTCGTTTTGAATAGAAAATTGTGGACGCCTCCTCCTCCTACTCCTCCTCCTTTTCCTCCTCCTCCTCTTCCTTCTCCTCCTCCTCCTCCTTCCCGCCACTTCTCTGCCCTCCTCCTCTCTTTTCTTGCGTTCCGTATATATCCTCTGCTCTTCGCTCCTTCTCTGTTCTCTTGCCGTTTACCTGGTTTGTCTTCGCCTTCCCTGGGGGGGTGCGGTCTGCGAAGCCGTCGCCAAGTTCGAGGGCTGCGGGTGGGTCCAACGTAATGAGGCACCGCCCAGGCTCAAATTCGAACCCGCCATCCGTGGGGGGCTGCGATCTGCGAAAATGTCGCCACCATCGAGGGCGCTGGTGGGTCCAGCGAAGTGAGGCAACATCCGATTTCAAAGTAAACCTCGCCGTCCCTGGGGGTTTGAACTGCGAAGCTGCGAAGCTGTCGCCACGTTCGGGGGCTGCTGGTGGGTCCAGCGGTTGAGGCACCGCCCAGGTTCAGATTAGACCTCGCCATCCGTGAAGGGCTGCCATTTGCGAAACTGTCGCCACTCTCGAGGGCTGCTGGTGGGCCCAGCGGAGTGAGGCACCACTCCGATTCATACTGGACATCGACACCCCTGGGGAGCTGCGATCCGCGAAACTGTCGCCACTCTCGAAGGCCGCTGGTGGGTCCAGCGGACTGAGGCACCACCCAAATTCAGATTAGACATCGCCATCCCTGGGGGGCTGCGATCTGCGAGACTGTCGCCACTGTCGAGGGATGCTGGGGGGGCCAGCGGAGTGAGGCACCACGCGTACTCAGATTAGACCTCGCCATCGCTGGGGGGCTGCGATCTGCGAAACTGTCGCCATTTTCGAAAGCTGCTGGTGGGTCCAGCTGAATGAGGCACCGCCCAGGTTCAGATTCGACATCGCCGTCCCTGGGGAGCTGCGATCTGCGAAGCTGTCGCCACCTTCGAAGGCTGCTGGGGGGTTCAGCGGAGCGAGGCACCACCCGGACTCTGACTAGACCTTGCCATCCGTGGGGGGCTGCGATCTGCGAAACTGTCGCCACTTTCGAAGGCTGCTGGGGGTCCAGCGGGGCGTTGTTGCGGGCCGCCCGCGGACCTGGCAGCGAGATCTCGAAGTGTTTAGCTCCCGCGCTGAACCAATGCAGGAAGGAAGCAGGGAAACTGGCGGGCGATCCAGGCCTCGCTCGCTGCTTGCACCAACTGTGAGCAGGCTTAAGAATACTCCTGCCGAGCGCCGCGTCGCCATGGCGCAGGAAGCGCTGCATGCTTTGGCACACGACCAGCACGGGCAACACCCTTCGGCCTCCTGCCGTCGCTCTCGTCGTCGTCCTCTGCCCCTCTGCCACCTTCCCTGCGCTGCCGCCGTGCCGACGGCTCGGCCCCCCGCGCGCCCTTTGTCCTGCCCTTCTCTCCTCGCCCTTCCGCTGCCGTCCCGTGAGTCATGCCACGCGAGCGCAGCCCACGTAGCTTGCACAACATAGAACGGCGCCTGCACTGTCGTTGTCCCGGCAAGTCTGGGCCAACTCCTCTTGTCACCTGATGCAAGTGGGTTGGGTTCGTCGCAGGGTCATTTCTTTCCGTTTTCCTCCTCCTCCGACCGAGGGCCTCCAGGAGCCGCCGAAGGCCGCCGAATGGGGAGGGCGATAAGTGGGAAGGGGGGAGAAACGTAAACCTTTCGACACCTTTTGGGCCCGAGGGGGCCTCAGCCAGGGCACAAAGGATGCAGCTCTCTACGCCCCCCATCTGTCGCCACGTTACCAATACGTAGCGCCCAAGTTCCTCTCGAGGACCTACTACTGACCCGTATCGGTCCAAGCCCAGGCCAATCAGGCTCTCCAGGATCCTGCGAGGTCCTGCGCATCCGGGACCCATGCGACCCTGGCCCCGCAGGATTCTGCGAGATCTGGCGCTCTGACTGACCCCCCGTCTGCATTGGCCCCCGTCCCTTGCGCCACGAGAATCCTCCTTCGACCGCGGGCCTCTCCGGGAGGCCGCCCAGGGCCGCCCTTACATAAGGGGGCGCCGAAGCGGAGGGCGGGGCGCCGAAACGGAGGGCGGGGCCCGCCTTCTAGGAAGGCCTCCTCTATAGGCCTCCCAGATGGGGTCGGAGCAGGGGGGCGGACGATCGCGCCGCGTCGCCGATGTCTCGGCGATGCGTCGTCGACGTGGGTGATGCATCGGCGACGTGTCGGCGTGGAGGAAATCGTGCTCCACATCGAGCCGTATCGCCAGTGCACCGGCGATGCGGCGCGATCCTCCGACCCCATCTACCCAGGCTCCATCTAGGAGGCCTAGATTCGCCTTCTCACTTCCCTCCCTCGCCCGCCGCCGAGAGTTCCTCCTCCGACCGAGAGGCCTGCTTCGGGCCGCCAAGGGCCGCCCCTGCAGGCGGCGCCGAGAAACGGAGGGCGGGGCCCCGGGACGGAAGGCGGGACCCGCCCTCTGCGAAGGCCTTCTCCTTCTCACTTCCCCCATTCTCCGCGCCGCCGAGATGTTCCTCCTCCGACCGAGGGCCTCCGGGAGGCTTCGCCGAGGGCCCACCCCTTAATTAGAGTAAGGGCTCGACCACGAGAAACCTTCCTCAAGAAGCCCAACCCTGAGACCCCAGGACGCCCATTGATTCTGGTGTGGGCACGTCACGCCTTCCATAGCAAGACCATCGAAACCCAAGAAACCCAGGGCACCCTGGAGGCAAGCAGGGTGTTTCTTGGCATGGGTCTCCACTGCAACTTTTGGCGCTCCCGCTTCGGGCACGCCCCTCGCGCGGATCGCCCCCCCTGGGGGGATCCACCTACAGTGGAGGCCCACGCTAGAAAACATTCTGCTCGCCTCCAGGGCGCCCTGTGAGGAGACAGCGTGGTGTCCTCATCGAGGAAGAATAAGAGACGCCAAAGACATAAGCTTTTGGCGCTCCCAACCCACCCTTTCGCCCGACCCGAGTTAATTAAGTCGGACCTGCCCCCCTACAGGCGGAATGTGGGCGACAAGTGGAAAATTGTCAAAACATTTACAAGAAAGAAACTCCAAACAAATCATCAACAAATCATCAATAATCAACTATGTTTGGACTATGTTTGAATCTTCGTCCTGTAGAGGGACAGGCCCGTCCTAATCTTAGCGAGTGATGCGCGTGTCTCCTCGCGTGGGCATCCACTGTTTGAGCAGGGACCGACCGTCCCGTTATTTCTATAGCCCTACCACGAGACGTCCGTAGAACCCAGAACTGTTCTAAGAGCAAAAACAATGTTCTTAGAACATAAGCCCGATGTGTTAAAACAAAACAGACTCAGCCAGAAATGCTCTAAGAACATTTCGTGCAAACCACAAGCGGTTCTTAGAACACTGTTTGGTGGGCCTATATGAAGGGGCCCTGGGACACACAAATAAATACACACAAATAACAGTATTCTCAATCTTTTCCCCATATTTTCTGGGTTGTCGTCTTCCCCCCCACTTCCCATATTTTCCCATATTTTCTTGGGAATCGACGTTATTTGTGTCTGTGTGCTTTCCCCCTCCTGCCTATAGGCGAGCCAGGATGCTTCGCCACTGCTCGAACTGTGCATAGGGCGCCGACAAACAACCTCGGCCATGGCGCGGCCCGGCCGCCCTCTCCGCTCGGGGCGCCCCCTCCATTCGGGCGGGGCCGCGCGGCGGGTGGGCCGCCCCGGCGGGGCACCTCGAGCCCCGGCCCGCCCGGGCGACCTCGTCGCCGTCCACGTCGTCGTCCTCGTCGACCTCGTCGTCGTCGTCGTCGTCGCCGTCGGCGTCGTCGTCGTCGTTGTCGTCGCCGTCGTCGACCTCGTCGTCGTCGACCTCGTCGTCGTCGTCCTCGTCGACCTCGGCGTCGTCGTCGCCGTCGTCGTCGTCGTCGCCGGCGCCGTCGCCGGCGCCGTCGTCGTCAGATGGAAAAGGAAAGGACAAGGCAGGGCAAGGCAGGACCGGGCAGGACAGGACAAGACCCGTGCCGGGTCGAACGGCAGAGCTGCGCTCGGCCCTGCCACACAGGCGGGCAGGAACACAATACATGTACGACCTGCAGTGCGCGCACCCGTGCACACCGAAATATGACCCCCCCCCAAGGAGCCCATGCCTTGCCTCCGCTCGACCACCCGCGACGCCGAGCCACGCGCGAGAGGAGAGGCCAGGCCTCCAACGCCCTGTAGGCGATCGGCACTCGATGCGTGCGCCCCTGGAAGCGCTCCGACCCCACGATGGGGCCGGCATGGGGGCACGCACATACAAATATATATATATATATATATATATATATATATATACATACATATACCCGAGGAAAGAGAGCTGTGCACCTACACCGATGCCGGCCAGGCCCAGCCTGGGCCCAGGATCGGCGCGCACGTCCTCCCGCCCTGGCCCAGGAAGGCACGTGCACCCCTCCTGGCTGGGGACAGGATGGGCCTGGCCAAGATCGGTGCACGTGCACAGCTCCCTTCGCCCGAGGACAAGCACAATTGAAGGGGCCCTGGGACACACACAGAAATACACACAAATAACAGGATGACCCATATTTTCTTATGTTTTCTGGGTTTTTGTCTTCCCCCCCACTTCCCATATTTTCCCATATGTTCCTGGGAGTCGACGATTACTCGTGTCTGTGTGTTTCCTCCCCTCCTGAACCGTGCCATCCGGAGCCGCATCTCCCGCCCGTGCCCGGCTGCCCCTGGCGGCCGGAGTCGGGGGCAGCAGCAGGGGCACGGAGCAGGCGTCGACGGCCCCTAGCAGGCATCGGGAGGCGCTCGCCGCCTTCGGCGCCCCGAGGGCCGCT